AGTGTATGGTCCATCCAATCCATCCATCCATGTATGTAACTACCCGCGAAAACTTAAGAAAACAGAGAACAAACATAAACACACTAGTATGTGTGTATCTCACATTTAATAATTTTCAAATGCTTCAAAATGTTATTCCATAGTCACATAATTGGAAAACCTTATGAAAATGGTTTGCATTTAACAGCCTGTGGTTTATTGTGTAATTTGCCATTCATATTACAGTGAAGTAGAGGCAATTTTCAATTCCAATGGTCGGCCTGATAAAATATCATTAAGGCTATTTCCATTTCTCCACTGTTTGCCTAGAATGATGCAGTAGTGTTATTGTGTGTATGAATTTAGGCAGCAAACATATCTAATACACCTATTTCCCCTACAACAGCCCTGTGAGTTGGATTGGGCTGAAATTGACTGGCCCAAAGTTATCCAGCCGGCTTTCTGTGTTTTATTAATTTCGGGTACAAGCGGTGTATCAATAAATCCAGTTCCTCTTAAAAATGCAGGTATATTTTTTATCAAATTATCCAAATCCGGAGAGATTTTGATAGTTGAGGCATAACAAGTTTAATAAACTTGAAAAGTTTAAAGTTACCGTTCCGCGAGGTATGTATGCCCTCGGGAGAAAAATCGAAACAACTACAATAACCGTCATGCTCTGCGACTAAGGAGGGATACATGCGCAGAATGCCTTTTCCTTGTTGCTATGGGAGCCTGCGGTAGGGCCGGACTTCGGGCGATTCTCCGGTAGGGTCCCCCTCTCCTTTCGTTCCCCCGCGTCCTGGCAGCCGAAGTTACAAGTTCCAGTTCGGGGGTGGGGGAGAAATCCTTTGTTGTCATGGTGACGATAGTATCGTTGCTCCGGGCATGCTAGCGATGTTCTCAGTGGAGCCGGACACGGAGGAGGACAGCCGGAGCAGCAGCGATGTCCCGTTCCCAAATCATCCACAGTGGCCACTTCATGGTCTCGGAACCCCACGCCGAGTCGGACCCCGATCCAGACCTCGGTTCCGAAGAGGCCATAAGCTCGGCCGATCGAGCGGTTTGTTTAGGCCTGCAAAAAAGCTGCGCGGCCGAGCGAGTCAGAGGGGCCGGAGCGTTAGGGAAGACTGCGGCTGGGAAGGCTGAAAGTGCGACCCAGCAGGGTTTCGGGGCTCCCTACGACATCGACACGGTGAACCAAGGCACCTGTCAGACCTACCGCTACGGGCCGCGCAGTAGCGGCGCGCTCAATATCGACGCCTCCCTCACGAAGCTGTTCGAATGCATGACCCTGGCCTACAGGTGAGGAGGGCCGGGGCCCTGGTCGCTGGGATGGCGAAGGGAGGCGGGCCCCGCTTGGTACTTCCTGGCGCATAAAAGACCCGCAAGAGGGAGAAGGGCCAGGAAGACCGGCCCAGGCAAGGTGGATTGGATCCAAAGCTTCCAGAAATCAAAATCTTGAATCTTCCTTTGAAGCTGTGCAGGTAGTCCTCGACTTAAAACAGCTCATTTAGTCACTGTTCAAAGTTACAACAGCAGTGAAAAAACGTGACTTGGGACCAATTTTCAGTTACAAACCTTTGCAGCATCTCTATGGTCATGTGACAAAAATTTAGATGTTTGGCAACCGGTTCAACTTTGAGAACTTTTATACAACAAAATTTCATTTTTAATGTATGCCTATTCGTGTACATTTGAAGTGACAATAATGTTATTCTATTGCTATTCCATACATTGTGATGTCCCAGGATCATGAGATCACCTTTTGTGATCCTCTGACAAGCAAAGTCAATGGAGAAGCCAGTTTCACTTAACAACTGGGAGACTAAGTTAACTGCAGTGATTCACTTAACATCTTTGGCTGGAAAGGTCATAAAATGGGACAAAATTCACTTAACAAATGTTTCACTTAGCAACAGAAATTTTGGGCTCAGTTATCGTCGTAAGTCAAAAGCTACCTGTATTTGACAACATATCTTCCTTCCAAGTTTTCTTAGATCAGGAGTGTCAAACTGGTGGCCCGTGGACCGGATGTGTCACGAGCAAGCCACATCTATCCCAGCTCCACAAATAGGAAAAACATCGCAAAATGTCAAGTGAGGCAACTTGGCACCGCGTGTTTGACACCTGTGCCTTAGATTCTGCACCCTAGTTAACAATGGGCCTTGCCCATTGATGGGCCATGAGTGTTAGAACAATGTTCTAAATGTGCTATCCTCTTCTGGGCAATGTTATTAAGTTAAAACCCTCTACTCAAATGAGACTTTTTTGTTGTTTCTTCCTCATACTAGAACCTGAGCACAAACAGAGAGGCTCAAAGTCTCTGTTAATATCCTGGGAGTGTAGAGTACCCCAAAACCAAGCAGACATTTCACAAGTAGAAATAAAGGCTCTTGGGTGTAACTTATTATGGATTGCCTCAAAAATTACGAGAAGTAGAAAAGTGATTTTCTAATGTGCCATTTGAATTAAACTTGAGGGCAAAAAGTATGTAAATGTTCAAAAGAAGAAACTTATTTATATGTCACTAGCTTTGTTGAAAGCTTGATTTGTTATGTGCCTGCACTTGCTGGGTAAAACTGGTAGTATGAGCCTATATGTACCCATTTGATAACGTCCTCAACTTACAACCACAATTGAGCCCCAAATCTCTTGCTAAATTAGAAATTTATTGAGTTTTGCCCCATTTTACAATATTTCTTACCACATTTGGTAAATCAACCACTGCAGTTAAGTTACTAACATGTTGTTAAGTGAATCTGGCTTCCCCCATTGACTTTGCTTGTCAGAAGGTTGCAAAAGGTAATCACATAACTTTGGGACATTGCAACCGTCATAAATATGAACCAATTGTCAAACATCCAAATGTAAATCACGTGACCATGGGGATATTGGGGATGTCATAAGTGTGAAAAATGGTCATAAGTCACTTTTTTCAGTGCCATTGTAATTTGAAATGTCACTAAATGAACTGTGGTTAAGTTGAGGGCTGCCTGTATCTTTTATAGTTGCCCTTTATAACAGAGTATTGTTTACTGGAAAGCTATTCATGATTAATCTGCCATATGAGCCTTAGACCAGAGTTCTACATTCTTAGAGGAGACTTGGTTCAAAGAGTTGTTGAGAACAAAGGAGGAAAGGGAATTCTGAATGCTTCGGCACAAGGCCTCTATTGTGCATTCATTTTTGTTCCTTTTCGTAATGTTTTATAGGGAAAGGAGAAGCAGTAGCCTCTTCCACTTTTAAATCTCCCATCTCCCTGACATTTCATACTTGTTACCAAAAAATGTTGAAAAACAAAAATACATTCTAATTTAGTAGTTACAGTTGATCTTGAGACCAGCATATTATTTATAGTTAATAGTCTCCAGATGTTTTCTGCATGATCTGCTGTTGTGTGCCTGTTCATCCATCTCCTTTTGCCATAAAATCCAATGGGGAAGGGAAACCAGAGATGAGATACTAGCTTTCAAAGAAACCTTGCACATTACTCAGTCTTTCAAAAAGATAAATAATTGCATTTGTTTTATTACTCTGTTTGAATTTTCTTATTTTCTTCTTTTATTGGAACAGTGTAGGGATATTTGTATCTATAGTGTCAAGTCTTTGAGGTAGTATTCCTATTCATTTTGCTTTCTTAATCATTTTTGGCTTGACTTATTGATTCCTTAATCCAGATATACCAGATATTACAGAAGGTTCTTTGGGTTCTTTTTTATTTTTAGTGGGAAAATTGTATCTCCCAAATGGAAAACTTTCAAAGGGCTGAAATTGCTGCAGCGTGACAAGATTCGACTCAATAATGCTATTTGGAGGGCATGGTATTTACAGTGTGAGTAATGGGAACAGGGTAAATTCAGAAGTTTATTCTCAAGGTACCTTCTTTTCATAAGGAGTCCATATGTTAGATCCGTGTATCTGCCATTCTTCAGTGGAAGAAGGGTGGGGGGGAGTTGATACAAGTAATCCTTTTTGATGTAACCTGAATATCTTAAACCTTATATCGAATCTGTATCTTGCACATGATATACAACTGGAGGACTGGAGCCAGATGTCTAGAAACTTGTCACCTCTTGGAGAGACAGCAAGAGGAGAAGGGACCATAAGAATTCCAGCTCTGAAAGATACTTCCTGGGAAACTCTTCTAAGATACTTTTCTAAGATCCAGGAAAAAAAAGGGAGGGGGAATTAACATGTTGGTTCTTTGTTTGACTAAATCCACATCAGAATAAGGGGAGGGGTTCTAACTCCCTTTATCTATTACTGTATGCCTGGAAGCATCTTAGAATCTGCTTTGACTAGTACCGGGATCACTTCCTTTCAATAAAGAATTCCTTTCGAAGTACCTAGCTTTCAGTTCATTTTTTTTGGTTGAAAGGGAAAAGTCCAGTGCTTACACCAGAATTCTTGATGAATTCTATAGTCAAGGACTATTTTCTATTCACTATTATGAGGTGCAAGCAATAACATGTACTTCTGAACATCACACAGTCTGTTTTCTTTGGTTGTAAAACCCATAAACATTGTCTTCCTGTTTGTGAATGTACAATTTGGGGGAGCTTTCAGTCAGTCAAAAAGTACATTTGTCTGTCTCTAAAAGTGACAATGGCATTTAGAGTTCTGTTTCTTTTTCATTTTGGACACAGATGTGGAGAAGAGGCAGAATCCTGTGTGCAGTTTTGTGACTCCCCTAGAATGCAGTGACATAGAGCAGCATCGCAAGCCTGAGGTGAGCAAGGATTTTATAGCACAAAGAGTTACCAGAGTGTAATGCTCTCTGAGTACAATGATGATGTTACCTAGTTTGGTAATGAGATATCTGCAAGGAAACCACCAAGCTCAGAGAGCACCAAAGACCCTCCATTTCAAACTTCTGTATCTTTATTTATTTGTTAGGCTGTCATCATGGAAGGAAAATATTGGAAACGCCAGGTTGGGGTTGTTATTAGAGAATATCATAAATGGAGGACATTTTTCCATATTCAGGTAAGTTTCTTCTCAAGCAAGTAAAGCTTTTTGGATAACACATGATATCAATGTGATAAAATAGCTGGAATGTAGCACTATATTGAAATTTTCCATCCCCAGATGATATTCTTTGTTGTCGTCTGTGTTGTTGCAGTGGCAGCCAAGAATCTAATTCTATCCTAAAATAATTTAACTCTACATATTCAGCCTGCATTTACAAGATTTAAAACATGATGAGGATAAAAAGGGCACCATGAAAGTACCTCTACAGAATTTCTGCACATTTTCACCAACATTTGTAGGCATTTTGTAAAATGTGTTTGGCTAGGATTTTAGCAGCTTTTTATAACTGAAAATTTTTATTATAGCAGTTCCCAATCATGCGACCTAGTATTAGATTTACCAGGTGTTTATCCTTTTTATTTTTATGTTTGTTTATATTTCATATTTCTAAGCTATCCATCTTCCTCAGAGTGGGGCTCTTTTATGTATCAGGTACTTCAGACCTTTTCTCCACCTATAGTTAATTCATAATTTTGATTTTTTGCCATTTGTATAAGATATACACATTATTTATTAATATTTACAGTTGCTTATAAGAGTTCTCTACTGCTTTGTGGTATCTTTAATTGAATAAATTAAAATTTCCTTTGCTAATTATTCTCTCAGAAATGTATTCTAATCCAAACCACCCTGTCTTTTTGTTTTAGGAGCAGAAGAAGTTTGACAAACCAATCTGCGATCCTAGTCAGGTGCTATATTAATATTCAAAAGTTCCCTTTCCCTATTTCCTTCCCCCCCCTGTGGCAGAGTCTAAAGCTGGAATACTTTGAATAATAATCATTGAGCATTCCAGGCTTTTACTTCCCCAATCCTTTGCTGGAACTTATGTGTTCCGCTCCCCCTCCCTATTTTGTGCAGGAGGTGTCTGATGCAATTTCAGAGGTAGAACTTAACACTGAAACAGCAACTGGGGGACCAATGGAGCTTGATCCCTTACATGATCTGGATGTACTTCTGGACACCATGGTCTCCAGCCGCAACCCTTATGGTGGTCCCAACTTACGTGGTCTTGGTGAGAAGTCACTTTATGCCCTTTATACAATGGTTTTATAGTGAAACTTTTTCCTTTATGCCCAAGTGCTGAAAGCTTTCCAAGGGCTTCCATAAAGGAGTTAGTTGGCGACTTGTAAAGACTGTGTATGACACATGCTATTTAACTATGAAAGCTGTAAATTTAGCTATAAATTTTTGTCCTGTCTCCAATCTTCCCTTTTGGGGGAAAGTTGTTGAGAAGGTGATCAAGTGGCATCTCCAGAAGAGCCAGAATGAAACAGTATCTGGATCCCCTTCAATAAGGATTCAGGCCCAGATATGAGACACAAATGCCATTGATTATCTGGCAGGAACAGGATGGGATGGTACTCTCTGCTCCTGTTTAACATCCACATGAAAATATTGAGCGAGATCATCTCCATGGGGAAAGATATTATCAATATGATGATAATACTCAGTTGTACATCTCTGCCTTTGTTGAGTTAAGCAATGTTCAAATGCCCTTTCCTAGTCCCTGGAAGCTACTGAGGCCACAGGCCAAAATTGAACTTTGGCAAGATGTCATGGGTTTGGGTCTCCTTGGGTTTTGGAGAATTATCTGTGGTCAGGGATGAAGTTGGCACTGCCCCAAACAGACCTGGTGCATAATCTGGTGTTCTCCTGGACTTGTGACCCCTGCTTGAGGAGGAGGTGGCAATCATGGCCAGGAGGACTTGCTCCTTGTTGTGCACCAGTTACGCCCATTCCGGGACCAACATGCCCTTCTCAAAGTCACCCAAGTGGACTATTGTAATGCAGTCTACATGGAGTTGCTCTTGAAGAGTATCCAGAAGCTTCAGTTGGTTCAAAATGTAGCAACTCATACAGTTTTACACAAGCCTAGGTTCATGCATGTATCATTGGTTGCCTGTTTGCTTCTGGGTTCAATTCAAGGTACTGCTTATAACCTTTAAAACCATGCAGGGCTTGGGGCCAATTTATTTGAAAGACTGCATCTCTCCAATTACATCTTCCTGGTCTACCAGAACAGGAAGCAGGATATGTTATGGGCCCCATTTATTAGGAAAGTACATTAGGTGGAACCAAGAAAAAGGGTTGACTTAATTGTGCCCCCCTCCCTATGGAAGAGCAATTCCCTCAGATATAAAATACGCCCCCCCCCCCCTCGGTACTTTTCTAGAAGACCCTGAAGACAAGAACGTGGGGGACCCAGACTATGGAATGGCTAGTGACTAGACCAGGGGTGTCAAATTCAAGGCCCATGGGCTGGATCTGGCCTGCAGAGTGCTTAGATCTGGCCTGTGCGGCTGCTCTAAAAATTGAGAAGGACTGGCCTGTGGTGCCTCTGCCAGCGATAACAGAGACCCTCCCGAGCTCCGTTTTCACTGGCAGAGGGTTGCAGGAGGCCAGTGCGGCTGAAAACGAAGCTCAGGAGCCCATTTTCACTGGCAGAGCACTTGGGCCACCACAGGTCCCCTCAACACGAGTGATGTCAAACTGGCCATGGCCACCCTGGCCACACACACACCCAGAGGTCAAACACCACCCTGATACAGCCGTCAATGAAATCGAGTTTGATACCCCTGGACTAGACTAATTGTATTGATTGTCAAGTGGGTAGAGTAATTGCAGCAGCAGAGAAGGTGGCATTTTAAGAGATTTACATTGTGGGTTTTTAATGCTATAAGCTACCCAGTGTCCCCTTATTTTATGTCTTCAGCTCACCAGGGTAATGCTGACATGATCCAGCCTACTCTGACCCAACTTCACCCCAATTTTGGAGAAGAATTTGTGAATACTTTGGACCCTATTCACGGTAACAAAAAATCCACAATTTTATATAACTGTTGAATTATGTGATCTGGTGGAACATTCCATGTAGACAAAAGATTTATATTTTTAAATGACCTTTGCATAGTTTCTTAGGGTCAAATCAAGGCTATTGTTTTAAAAAATTTTCACATATGTGAAAAGTGTACAGCATGGGAATGTATTGCTGGACTCCCTATATCTGTTTCCATTATTTAGTGTATGTTTAGTGGGAAAATGTTTTCACAATCTCAAAATGCAAAGTATCTAAATCTCATGCTTTGGGAGAAAATGAGATTACTGACTTATTTTCAAAAGCCTCAAATTAATCCCCAGATTATGAAAGGTGGTTTCTGACCTCAACAATAAATAGTATTAGAGTCCTTGATTATTTACATTGGCTCAGAGGTATAGCTAGGGAACAAAGACAGCCTAAGTCACAAGAAATAAGAGCAGAGTTTTGCTCTGGCAAAATCCTGTCTTCTAAGATTCTACAAGTCTACAAGTGTGCAAATCAGTGATTGTAAAAGTGAATAAATAAAAATAATATTTTTTAGCATTTATATACCGGTAATAATAGCAATGTAATTCTCATAGTGCTGATGTTATTTTTTTAATGTAACATTTATGCTCAAGGCTAAAGGATCAACAGACTTGACAAAAACACTATATTTTGCAGAATAAAAAAATAAAAGGTTTCTTGATTGAGTAGGCAGAAAGCAGGCAGAATTGAAATTGAAAAGGTTGTGCAACAAAACAGCACCATTGTCTAGTTTGAATCCCAGATGAGGAGATTTTATATTGTAGCACTTGAATCTAATCCCACTTGATCCATCTATTTCATAGCAGGCTTAATAAATCAATAGAGGAATTAATTAGTAATTTCTGTAATTCGCCAAAATCATTCAATTGTCAACTCAAACTGAAAAATTAAAAAAGCACAAAAGAGGCACTGGATATTCACTAGTTGAATCCTGGATAATAGCTTTTGATTTAGTTAATATACATGCTCCATCTTGCTCTAACCATTGATCAACACTATTTCTCTGGTGAACATGCTGCACAGTATTCCCATACTATGGTCCTGGAACCTAAATTGGTCTTTCATTCTGTCTTTCTTTATTGTCATGCCCCTGTTAGAATCTGACTCAGAGGGAGAGGAGGAACAACCACAGGGAGTGGGAGTGTGGCTCCGGAGGTTGTGGAGGAAACTGGGGAAAGGCACAGGCCAGCTGGGCATTCAGAGAAAGATCCAGGCCCATCCCCTCTTCATCCTAGGGCAGATAGGAGGAGCAGATAAGGGAGAAACATGAATGGCGTGGTCTACGGGGAGGAAAGGGCCTTGATCCCCTTCATGGGCTGCAGCTGTGAGGACTGTTTAAAAGGACAAACTGCACATGGGCCAGTCCTGGAAGCAAAGCGTGAAAATATTTCTATGTCAGTTCTTATCTGAGTTCTGGCATCCTTCCCAGTGTGTCTATTTCGATATCTGTGGACATCTTCAAGCCCTTATCCTGCCTTGTCTCATTAATTGCTTCAGTGTAGTTTGCATTGTTTTTTTTTCTATTTATAATTTATATGTATTTTGAGTTTGAATGGAAGTTCTTCCTTTTCGCGACTGTTTGGGGGGTGGGGGATTCTCCAGTCAATGGTAATTGGATCTTTGCAGCCAAGTTGAAGGAATTAAAGGGACTTCACCTGTTTTTGTGACTGTTGCTTTTGTATCCCACTCTGGATCATCACATTTATCTTTCATTTGTTTTCTTACCTTTGTCAAGACTGTTTAAAAGGCTGCCTTGCCATCATCTCCTTTCATCATTCATGATCTGTAGTCAATTCAATCATGCTTTTTTCCATTTCTATTCTGGTTTTTGATTGGTATTTTGATGGGAGACCACTAAGGAATATTGGAGCTATAGACTGGAAGGTTTAAAAATATCCTGGAAGCCATTTCCATATTGCAACCAAATAAACAAGATAAACCTCTCTGTGTAGACATCCAGAATCAAGCTCAATATGAGGGTGACTACATTTTATCTATTTCATCGAACAGTATCAGAAAAGGTAATTTGATTTCTAACACACAAGGATTGAAATAGAACAAAACAGAACAGAAGAGAGCTGGAATTGACCTTGGAGGTATTCTAGACCCTGCTCAAACAGGAGAACCTATCTCCTAAACATAAATCTGAATAGAGTTGTTTCCATCTACAATTCAGAACCTTTTGCCAATAATTTAAAATCTAATGCACATTACTATTGTCTCCTTTATGGAGATTTGCAAGGAATCAGATTACGATATAAAATTTAATTATGAAAATTGGGCCATTCTTCTTACTAAACTTTAAAGATTGTGACTAATATTAATATGGTTACTATCAAATATACTTGGAAGAAGATTAATATGACAACTTGCATTCTAGTCCCTGCATATGTGTGCGAAGACACACACACACACACAGACTTAATTTCTCTCTATCCATGACAACTATTATATGATATAATCAGGCAAAATATATAAGTTGCCTTTTCTTTCCTCAGGTTCCAGCCCCATATTGTCCATGTTCTTGTTTATGATTTTTTTTAAATACCACTAACAGAGAAAAATCCTTATCTGCTTAATTGATTGAGCTTATCAGACAATCCTCATTTTTATTACTCATTGACTCATCCTAATCATCTACCCTACCTTTTTCTTTTCACAGAATTTATTACGTCTTGTCGTTCTCAGCCTATATTCCAGGTAAGGAGAAGCAGTATATCCAGTCATCTAATACAATAGCCACAATAAGGTTAGCACTTAGTTTCATATGTGTAAAGTGAGGATGATTATTTTCTATTAGAAGTTATGTTACAGGGAATGAAAACTACAGTTTGAAAAGTGTAGCCCAACCAACCCAGATAATTATTTCAATCTATTATTTTATTTTTTGGATTATATTTTCCTGGTATATTCCTATATAAGGTGAACTAAACCATACATAAAGAACTATATAATTTATTATTACTTTTATAGCTACTACTTTTACTACAAATTGTGTGCTGTACCTGGTTATGAATTTAAACCAGAAATTAAAAGCAGTCGTTGCTTAAGGAGCACAATTGGGAATGGAAACTCAGACAAGGAGTGAAGAGATCATTAAGTGAGATGTCACATGACTGCTTCGCTCAATGACCATGATCCCAACACTCCCAGTTGCTATCATAAATGATCTCCGAAGAGAGAGGTTAGGGAAACAAGGATTTTAGCATGTTAAATTCCATGCACCGAGAGGCTTTACGTACTAAAATCCTTGCCTCTCCCTTTGGCGATCACGTAGCCATTGCAACTGGGAATATTGGGATCATGTTCATTGAGCAAAGCAATCATGTGACATCTCACTTAAGTCCTCTTAACAGGTAGCAACAGCAGCTTGCAACTTTCCCTGTTGGCTTTCCCATTGATTTTCTGATTGCAGACACTGGGTAACTAGTGATAAGTATGAATAGGTTGGCCAAGCACCCAGAACGGCATCACATGACCATGGGGAGTGAGGGGAGGATTTTCCAGAAGTGCTTTTCAGGCTGTAAAGCATTTTTTCCTGGTGACCGTTGTTAATTTGAATGGTCATTAAGCAAGGTCCATCTGTAATTAATCTTTTCCTCCCACCCTTCCTTATGCAACAGTAAGAAAGTGCTGACAGAATTAAAACAAATTCTGTATAAGAGCTGACATTTCCTTAGCCTTTCCTAGGTTCCTGCACCTCTGCCAGATGCTACGGCCTTACACCAAGACACCTCAGATTTGCCTCCAGTTGCACCTCACGCTAAGGCGCTCTCACCATTGGGAGACCCACTTCTGGATGTGGAGCTGCCTACACCTCTGACTGGACAGCAGATCTTCTTGCCATTCTTCCCTACCTCTCCTCCAAGGATCAGCCCTCCACCTGCCCCTCCCATCTTGCACCTTCAGCCACAAACCACATTTGTCTTTTCTGTCGTCAGTAACACTGGAGTGGAAAAGACCTTGCCATCCCCTCCTGCGGGATCTTTTGTTATGCCAAACTGTGGTTCTACATCCAAGGGTGGGGGGGTCAGGCAGTTTCAGCGGATTGCTCCAGCACCTGCTCCTACTCATCATCAGCCAGTAACACCCCAGGCCTCCTTCACACCACTACCTACAGCTGGTACGTACTGCTAAGCAGGGCTCCATAGAGAGGAGAAATGGGGCTTAGCACTAGTTCAGCTTCCTTAGGACTTTTGCTTTTTGGTTTTTAAGTAATACTGGGGATTTGTGCACTTATCCGAGCTAGTTTTACAACAGTCACCAGGTATTGAGGTGGGGGGAAACAGCAAAATAATAATAATAATAATAATAATAATAATAATAATAATAATAATAATAATAATAATAATAATAATAAT